CAAGGGATTAGTAATGCACAAAGTTAATGTTTGCATTATTTTTTTTAATACCTCCTACTAAACGATCCCTAAGGTCTTATGTTTCCTTCATTATATATCTAACATCATTTTCGTATTTACGGACATGCTATATTTCTAGGTTGTTAAATAAACCTCCTTTTTAGAGACCCACCACGTATAGTAGCTCTAATACAATTTGTAACAACTCAATTTATTAGTGATATTATCCGTTTGAGACTAGGTCCATCCAATTTTAAAATGCGCAACTAAAGTATAATGTTTGCTTTCTTATGTATAAGGTATTTCTATCGTGATATAATGATGTGAGATGGCCTATGGTGTCACGCCATACTATGTGAGCACACATTTTAAGAGTGTAGCCACGTATATATAATATTTTTAGAGAATATCACTAGCGTATAGCCCNATAAACCACCGATTATTTGATTTTATAAGCATATTAAAATGTTTAACTTTTGGTGCCACGTGCACGGGAGAGATTTAAAAATAGCTAGATTTACAATTAGTCGTTCAAAAATAGACCAGTTTCAAAAGTAATCGAAATTTAGCCATTTTTCATGTAAAGATAAATCTGAGCGAAAACACTGTTCAACCCGGAAAATACGCCAGTATATTATACTGGAGTTTCAGCATAAGTATGTTTGAACTCCAGCATATTATACTGGAGTTCCAGGATAAGTATGCTGGAACTCCAGCATAATATGATGGAGATCCAGCAGAAGTACACTAGAACTCCAGCCAAATATACTGGAGTTCCAGCAAGTATAATTGTCCAGTATAATATACTGGAGTTTGGAGCACCGGTGCTCCAGTCTCCAGTATATTATACTGAAGTCAGCAAAGTATACTGGTCCAGCATAATATGTTGGAGTTCATACACAGGTGCACCGAACTCCAGTATATTATGCTGGACCGGTCTCTGTTGCAGCAAAATAATGGCTATTTTTTATTGACTTCGTAAACGCTGACTATTTTTGAATGACTAGTCCGAAAATTGGCTATACCGTGCTATTTTTACCACATGCACTGCATACACAACAACAACAACAACAACCCAGTAAAATCCCACTCAATGAGATCTGGGGAGGGTAAAGTGTACGCAGACCTTACCCCTACTCCGGAGGGGGTTGAGAAGCTGTTTTCGGGAGACCCTCGTCTCTGAGACAATAGATCTGTGACAACAAAATCCGAAAAAATAATATCAGCAACGTGAGAGACATCAAATAGATGGAAAAGCAGTACCACAAATATTATACAAAAGTCTGAAACACAACATAAATCGACCGCTCGACTACTCCTTAACCTACAACCCTTAACCTATAACTCTAATGCTCGACTATCCCTTATCCTACAACCCTAATGCTCGACCTCCACACCTTCCTATCTAGAGTCATGTCCTCGGAAATCTGGAGTCGCGTCATGTCCTGTCTGATCACCTCGACCCAATATTTCTTAGGTCTCCCTCTACCTCTTCTCATACCTGCCAAAGTCAACCGCTCACACCTCCTAACCGGGGCATCTAGGCTTCTCCTTTGCACGTGTCCGAACCATCTAAGTTGCGCTTCCCGCATCTTGTCGTCCACCGGAGCCATGCCGACCCTCTCCCGAATATCTTCATTCCTAATTTTATCCAGCCTAATGTGCCCACACATCCACCTCAACATCCTCATTTCTGCAACTTTCATCTTCTCAATATGTGACTTTTTCGCTGGCCAACACTCAGCCCCATACAACATGGCCGGTCTAACCACTACTCTATAGAACTTACCTTTGAGTTTCGATGGCACATTCTTGTCACACAAGACTCCAGACGCTAATCTCCATTTCATCCACCCCACCCCAATACGGTGCGTAACATCCCCGTCTATTTTTCCATCTCCTTGGATTATTGACCCTAAGTACTTAAAACTTTTTCTCTTGATGATGACCTGTGAGTCAAGCCTGACTTCCACATCCGCTTCCCCCGTCACTTTGCTGAACTGCATATGTAATTAAATTTTATAAAAAAAGTATACTTGCACTCAGTACATGCATCAAGTTTCTTATTTTAATACAATCAAAATTTGATATTGAATTTACAAATAATTTAAAGAGAAAATGTCTTATATCGTTTATTTTTCTCTCAGCGACATGATTCCTGTTAAGAATTTGAAGTACTCTATTATGTTGTTTAAAGAGTGAACAATCGTTCATAATTTTTTTTTCGAGTTCTGTTGACTTGTCTTGCAGGACACCATTAATTAACAAAAATTAAATGTTAAAACATTTATGAAAATTATAATAAACATATATCATGCATTTATCAATTTGGTGAATTTATCAGATATCTTTATGAAGTTACGTGCTGCTATATCTCCAAGAAAAAGTTGAAAGTATGTGAGATCGGATCAAAAGTAATACTTGAGTCTTATGCTTCACACATTATGAAAGTGACTAATCACTATAGATGTTAAAGTGTTTTCCCCTAATATTAAAGAGTGAATTAGTTCTAAAATCTTTTATTTTCTTATATTCTTTGTATTTAACATTACGGGCAAAATATGTGTCACATAAACATGTTCAAGTGATAGATTTTTATGTAAAATCAATCACATATATAATGCATTTATTGATTTGGTGTATGTACTAGGTGCCACTAAATACATTCATGATTTTTTTTCTTAAATAACCGTGGTGTCCGGTCCAATTTGCACGCACCTCAACTAATTTCACAGGCCTATTTCATTTGTACCTAGCCCTAGCGAGTTATTACATATAGGTTCTTTACCATCTTTATCTACCTCATTACCTATTACTAATTCCTCAACTTCGTCATCTACCCCTTCCCAGCATCCAATGCAAATTCGATATATGTCTGGTATTTCTAAGCCAAAGAAATAATTTTCTTTGAGAGCTAATATTCATGAATAGTAACCTTCTTGCTTTTCTCCGGCTGTGAAAAATTCAAAGTGGCAACAAGCAATGGCAGTTGAATTTAATTCCCTTTTGGAGAATAATACTTGGATCCTTGATCCTTTTACCCGTAACATGAACTTAGTCGGTTGCATATGGGTATATCGCATAAAATATAATTCAGATGGGTCCATTGAACGATACAAGGCTCGTATTGTAGCACAAGGTTTTCATCAAAAGCTCGGCATCGATTATTATGAGAAATTTAGCCCTGTTGTTCGTGCGACAACTGTGAGAATTGTTCTTTCCCTTGTTGTCTCTTTTTCTTGGCAAATTCGTCGGCTGGATGTTAAAAATGCATTTTTGCACGGGGTTCTTACTGAGGAGGTCTACATGAAGCAGCTTCCTAGTTTTATTCATCCCGACTATCCTAATCATGTTTGCAAGTATATGGCTTGAAACAAGCTCCCCGGGCTTGGTTTCATCGTTTCAGTGCATTTCTTATTTCTCATGGTTTTGCTTGCAGCAAATCTGATAGTTCTATGTTTATTTATCGCTCGTCTTCTCATGTCCTTATTCTATTACTCTATGTCGATGATATCATTCTCACAGGTAGTCATAATGGTCTTCTTGATCAATTCATTTCTCGTCTATATCATCAGTTTGCTATGAAAGACTTAGGCAATCTCCATTATTTTTTTGATATTCAAGCAGTTCGTACATCTCACGGTCTTCATCTGTCTCAGCAAAAGTATATTTCTGATTTATTACTTAAATTTCGCATGCACACATGCAAACCAGTTCGTACTGCCCTTGCTTCTCGCAATTCTATTTCTCTAATGGATGATGAGTTACTTTCAGATCCTAGTGAATATAGGAGCATGGTTGGTGCTCTTCAATATTTGACTATGACTCGTTCGCATATTGCCTAAGCTGTAAATATTGTCTCTCAATTTATGCATTCTCCCCATACCACTCACATGCATTGTGTCAAGCGTATTTTCAGGTACTCTAACTTATGGTCTGACTTTGCATGCCCTATCTCCGACTTCCATGGTTATTGCCTACTCAGATGCTGATTGGGCTGGTTGTCCTGATAGTCGTCGTTCTACTTCAGGTTTTGTTGTGTTTCTAAGATCTAATCTTATCTCTTGGCGTGCAAAGAAGCAACCAACAGTTTCAAAATCGTCTACAAAGGCTAAGTATCGGGCTATTGCATACACTATTGCTGAGACTTGTTGGATTCGTCAGATCCTTTGTGAACTTGGTATCTTTCTTCATGAACCAATTCGTGTATTGTGTGACAACATCAGTTCAACTTACATGACCGGTCATGATCGCTCAAAACACATTGCTGTTGATTTTCATTTTGTGTGTGATAAGGTTGCACAAGAAGATCTTATAGTTCAATATGTTCCGACACATTTACAATTAGCAGATATCTTTATGAAGGGTCTGCCTTATCTCGCTTTTGTTTTCTTCGGGACAATCTGTCTGTTACTTCTGCTCGTCTAGATTGAGGGGATGTATTAGTGCATATAGAATAGGTAGAATTCCTTTAGTCTTACACTTTGTATTCTAAAGAGTCCTTGTTTACATAACCTTGTACTCTAGGTAGAGTCCTTGTTGACTTGATACATTGTACTATGTATAATATTATATATATTAGACAAAGCTCTCACACTGAGAGCATCTTGGGCAGAATACTATTCTTCACATGCCACCTCGTGGATAGATGGGAAGAAGTCACCTTAGTATTTATTGCCCCCGGGGGATTTGAACTTAATACATTCATGATGTTACTGTGTAGTTATCTCCAATTAAAGAGAAAACTGAATGTAAACGACTATGTTGCTCGGACTCTGCAAAAATATCGTTTGTTGCATGTCATATCCTTTCGAAGTAGTGCATTTTTGGAGGATCTGACACAGGCACGGTGACATTTTTGGAGAGTCCACGTAACATGATGTGTTACATCCTTTCCAACAGATTATAATGTTCTTAATTGCGTCTTCGGATTCAAATAGCATTGGTATTGACAATCCAATAAGATCAAGCATAGCTTATAGAAAAGTTGCTCAAGGTCATCCACTGAGAACTGCTCTTTGTACACCAGAGGCCAATGATAAGAATACATTCTTGATAAGAAAAATCAAATGCAAGATGAAAATGAATAGCAGTAATGTGTATTTTTACACTCAACATTGGATGAATGAACACTAAATGAAGTCATTACCAACACAAAAGAAGAGGCCCTTCAATCAAGCCAAAAACAATCCCTTGATGGTTTATGCTCACAAGGCATAAAGCAGTGCAACGAAAGATCCTAGAGCTATTGGCCATAGATGTATGATTCGAGACAAAGTATTAGCGCCATTACATTGGTCATTAGCACCACTGAAGCATCCAGGCCTAGTTACCTTAGGCTCTCCTCCCTCCGTGACAAAGCTGCTCTTCGGTTTGCCATTGCTGAAGAGTACACACCAGAAATATGGGCCACCACCATCGGAGCCACTCACAGCAGCACCAACCTCCGTGTGATTCTTGCTGTTGAGAATATCCAAACTCTTGCTATTTCTTATAAGAATATCATTGAATGCTTCAGAAGGTTCGTCATACTTGGACTGACAAGCGAGAAATCTTCCGGTTATTTGAGCAAGTGATGATGCCTTCACATCACAGTTAGGGGCAAAAGTTTCGGCAAATTCAGATTCAGCAGGTTTCTTGGCATCTGGCCCTCCAACTGCACTACATTCACCTTGGTATGCTTTAATATATTGCAGAGCCAAGCATGCCAAGCCAGGGTTGCTGTATAAGGAGGATAATTTATTTCCGGTCCTGTTACTATTAAGGACAGCTACCAGCTCATCTGCAGGATTATCTGTTACCTTAGCTGTATTTTTTATCAAGAACATAAGCGTTAGAGGTTGATCACAAGGGCAATAATGGTGAATCAAGATCAAGAAACTGTCTGCTCAAGGAATATGCATCGGAAATGACAAGGGCAAATTACATCTAACCGAAGGGACTTGAGAGACATGTTGGTATGTTTTTGGTTAGTAAGAGTAATTAAGTATCTAAGCCTAACTAAAGGAAGAAGAACCGGAGAAGGGGATAGTAAGCATCATTTAGGTTGTGACTGTACTTCTAGCATACTCAGGAAAGATTATCAACACCAACTATATTTATCAAGAGAGTTAGAAGAAGAAAAAGTGAAGATACAAGATCAGGATGCAACATAGTTTTCAAAGGCATAAACTAAAGCAACTAGAAAAAGAATCTTGAGCAGTGTCCTTTCATTTAGGTATCTTATCATGTTACCACAAGTTACAAAGAGCAAAAAGCCAATTTGAGCAGCTTCCCCTATACTACTTGTTAGCGGAAACGTAAAAGAAAGAACACAAGATTTAACGTGGTTCGGATCAAAATAATCTTACGTCCACCAGAGAACAGTTGTCTTTTTAATATTAACAAAGGAAGGGGAGAGTTCCCAATTACACTTAAGAGAATTTCTCTCTTAACTCTCTACTCACTACAATGTGTTGTATTATTTTTGGGATGGTTTCTACAAATGAAGGAGTGCATCTATTTATAGAGGTAAAGACCTCCTCTTGATGTCATTGGTGACATCAAACTACCTCCTCTTGATGTCATGGGTGACATCAAAGGAGGAAGCTTCCTCCTAGCATCCACACCAACTCTTTCCACCAACTCTTCCAATTGGCATGCCATTGTTGACTAAACATAAACCAACACCTTCAATCTCCACCTTGGTTTGCGTTTCGAGCGTGCGTGTGAACAACTCTGGCCAAAACTTCTAAGCTTACTGGGCAACCCCGTTGTAAGAAACAAGAAGAATCAAACCATTGTTGAACATACCACCTCCACCTAACAACTGTTCTCTTCGGAGTTGCATCAGTTGATGCACACCCCCGCCAAGTCCTTGCAGTGTGCAAACTTAGCGAGTGGGACTATCTTGGTCAAAATATCTGCAGCATTATCGTCTGTGATAACTTTCACGACCTTGATAGTTCCCTCTTCAACATCTCGAATAAAATGAAATCTGACATCAATGTGTTTAGTGCGCTTATGAAATCTCTGATTTTTCATTAAATGAATAACACTCTGACTATCACATCTAAGAGTTGATTCCAGCTGAACCAAACTCAATTCCGCTACTAAAC